GGAACTTAATCATGAAAACTGCATTTTGCATCATACACAGAAAGCGGCTGGTCATTAAGTTTTTATTATACGTTCCCGACACCGGCAACTCAGCGAAACAGTAAAGCGTGTAATAACTGTTTTTGAAGTATGGGTAAAGATTAAAGTGTTGGCAGTTTGCAGTAAAATAAGGGGTAGGAAACCCCGTTAATGCAAGTGACTATGCACAAAATTCCACTAAGTGTAAATATTTCCCTGTTCTGTAATTTTACCAAGGACCTTAACCCTCACTTTATAGTAAGATTTACCCAGCGTACCAAAATGAACACGTATAACGGCAGACACTCGATAAAAACGCAGGAGCTAAAGCGGATTAAATTGTGTACTTATGTGAAGATAATAATGTAATGAAAAATAAAGTAGTGCGGATGCAGGAAGACTCACTTCCGGAACTTTGAACTGAATTTCAGCATCTTGTAATTCGAATTCAGAACCTGAGTCAAACCTTTTTAAAGGCTGGTACCGTTCATGCTTTACCGAGAAACGGCAGCTTGTGAATCTCAAATGACGACGTGACAGCTTAACGTTTTGTGCAGAAATATTAAGTTACATCAAAAGGGCATTCGGCGGCTTGCCGGAGGAGTTTTAACTATGGAAACACCGCTTTTGACCATTCCACGCTGCCCGACTGCATGAACCCGGGTTTCACTAAGTGGACCGCCAAGATTTCCGTTTGCGGTCTCTATCCGTTTCAAACATTCTACGGATACTTTTCACCACCGAAGCTATCTTGCACCTAAACAAAGTGATTAAGATGCCTCATGTGAGTATGCCTTCAACCCGCACCGTTTTGTTCCGGCTCGAAGACAGTTCACCGTGAACGGCAGCATTTTGGGTGATATTATAGGAAGAACAATCAATGGGCCATTTTTGACCAAACCTTCTTCGATCAAAGTAATATCAAACTTAACTAACTGGCCTATATGAGAAAATTCCTGTCCTCAACCGCCCCTTCAAAAAATTGTTACTGCTAAAAGAAGACGCAGTTGCTGGAACAAAAATTTAGCTCGCTCCAGGTCAGGATTTACACATAAAGCAACATCAGACAAAAAGACAGATCAGAGTAGTGGATAAACGAAGGTTGCCATTTATGTAAGATATGCTTATGCATTAATTAGCCTTATCAGATCCTGGGGTTTGAGCGTGCATTTGAAATGTCGAGTGATGAAAAATTAATGTGTTAGCTGCCGCGTCACCTTTCACTAAATTTCTTCCTAAAACTCGAATTATCTTCTGTAGGGACAAGTGATTACGGCGTTATTCTTAAGAAATTTGATAATCCGCTATTTAAGACTAAGCTGCCCGCATTACGACTATATCCCCCAGTGAAAAATTTGGCATCGATAAGTTGTTCGAGGAAGGCCCTTTGGGTTTCTTGCTTTGACCCGCTTAATTTCAAATTGTCAAGCCGCCTTGAATGCAAGGCTCGCACTAATACACTAGAACAGTGGAAGAAGAGAAGGTGGCTCTCGTTAAAGAATGCACACAATTAGCAAATGAGCGCTTAGTGTGGCTAAGCAATTAATGGGTCCGAGACCTTGGGTTTTCTGGCTAGTTGTCATGAGTTCGTTGTCTTGTCCGTTTAGCTCGGGAATATTAACAATGTTAAATTAGCGTTTGCTGATCGGTTACAGAACTCAATCGTCCCGTTACGCCTTGGGGCTTGCTCTCAAGCCCCGCTAGCAGCCGGTCAACGGCTAGCATATTACAGGCAGAAATAAATTTGTGACAAAGACAAGGGAGGCTTAAGTGACAATTTTTGGCTTATTAGCCGTCATCAGCCAGCCATAAACAGCCCCAGGTGTTGCGGCACCCGACTTTGAACTCTCCACCTTGTTAGATAGAAGTCCAAAACTCTAGAAACTGCGCCACGGGCTCGTTCCCTTGCTGGTTTTAATCAGGAACATTAACAATGGTGTAGTATAGTGGTATGCAGTTCTGAAAAGACGCCGAAAGGAAGTTTTTTTCTAAGTTAAGGTTTTGAGCTCAGAAATATTTACTCGAAACACATCATGCACACAAGACAAATAAAGGGGATCACTTTCTAATAAAATTTGTAATGACCACCGTTAACTAAAAAAAAATTTGACTGGTGTCGTCAATGAGCACAGAAAGACTCAATATGTAAAG